ATATATGTATGCATGTATGTATGTATCGCGCAGTATGCGTGTACCATGTATGCACTTCAAGTTACACACCTGCATCCGATGTGGTGCGTGAATGGTCTGGAGAGCACATCTATGTTGTGGTCAATCCTGATAATGTATATAGCTGAAGCGGTAAGCAACTTCGTTTATCATCTATGGACATATAAAAGATATTTGTTCTCTGGGACCGGACCGTGGACGTAGATAGTGCATCATAATATTATCTCTTAGGCCACCTAAAAAAACAGACAACTCGAGAGATTTCTAAATTTCGTCACAACTATGTCTAACCGCAATCCGTTAAATGATCCCAACGTAAACTGTGTACTTTAAAAACGTTATTACGCCTCCAATAGACGTGAAAAACAAATTGACCTATTTTGCAAATTAAACGGAGTCAATAGGGGGAACATTGTCAACACGTTGAACCTCAGGGCCGGAACATGACCCCATAGTGATAGCCATAGGGCCAACACGCTATAAACGTTGAGCGTAAACATATTGTGGTCAGGTCTTTAGTGGAGTAGTTTCTGTACGACAATACGGTATTCCGTTTTACTTTTTTGGTTGATTTCAGACGAACGCAAAACTTCTGAAGAAAACGGCAAACGCAGTTAGCAGTATGGCAGTATTTTTAGACTGTATGTAGTCTTCTCGTCTCGTCGAGTAGTATTATCCAATCTATTAATCTATATAATATATTCTTTACGCATGAACATATTTATGGAAGTACTACAATACTCTATACCTATTATGTAAATACCTATTCATTAATTCTAGTTATATCATTGCGTAAGTACACTCACCGCTATCTAACAAAGAGAAATATAACATAGACCACAATATAAAACCCATACCAATAGAGTACACGAGATATCACCGCTACAACGACCTTAGAGGGGAGTATAGCATAGTCCACTAGATAGAAACCATACACAGTATACTTAATTCTATATCTTTTCGTAGGTGCGAAGCACACGAGATATCACCGCTGCAACTACCTTAGAGAGGAGTATAACATAGACCACTACATACATACCATATATAAGAGCATCATGGTGCAAACGTTTGTCTTTGTGTATGGCACACTTAAACGGGACCGTCCGAATCACAAACTGCTATGCGATACTACAAAGGGATCTGCACGGTTTGTAGGAGAAGGTATCACATGATTTGCTCCGTATACTGTGCAGACAAAGGCGAGTATGGTTACATGCATATTTATTGCATAAACGTGTAAAATATCTATGTATACGATGTAAACGTAAATAAACACGCATGCCTCCCGCTTTGTTGTTGAAATTATCCCATTCTGAGACGGATGCAGAAATATAGCCTACATTATTGGTGTTGTATGTATGAAATCCGTGGTTGCAGTGTACAGGGCAGCTGTCAGCAACATGCATATTTTCGTAAGTTGGAGGCATATTGATATCATCTCTGAACAAATAAAAAGTATACTGGGGAAATAGAAAACATCATAAATATTATACGCTGCACCGTATTAGGAAATCTCGGAAACCGGAAATGTATACTAGCGATTGAACACACCAAAATACAATGCGCATTACCATTAACAGCCACACTTGCGGATCCATACCCTTTGGTTATGGCTTCAGAATATAAGATTCCCTTCCTTCTGGATGCTAAAAACCACCACGGCAGCTTCCGAGTTAAAGGCGAGGTCTACGAGGTTGGTTACCGTGTACTACTCGTTGTGAACATGCGTAAAGTTATTTACATGCATGCGGTTACGTCGTTCATTTATGCATGTGTTTATATGTATTCACACTATATATATATATATATATATATATATATATATATATATATATATATATATATATATATATATATATATATATATATATATATATATATATATATATATATATATATATATATATATATATATATATATATATATATATATATATATATATACAACACACACACACACACACACACACACACCCCTGAACAAACTCTTACGGTTGTATGCGTGTACTTGCACGCACCACCACACATCCGAACACCCGTATGTGGCTCTCCACACACGCATGCGATTGCACACGTGTGAGCGCTCAGGCGCCTTGGCCACCACATATGTGCTCACACTTCCCATTGTGTACGCTCATGCACACACAGCCACACACATACGGGACGGACTCGGACCAGGTAAAGTAAAGTGCACACACGCGTGGTTGTCTAGTGCTTTAACGGGTCTAAATGGTGTGACTGATTCCTGGGGGGATGCTTGTGGTAGTAGAATGAGCGGGGTGTGTAGTGTGATAGGCGTATGGACTCACGTTGTCGAGTGTTTGTGCTCGGATTAGTAGACGTCCGCCAAGTTCTTACCCACTCACCTGGTAGACGTACCTGGCAGCTCGAGACACCTTACCAGGACTCAACTTCAATTTTTCATGCTCATGCCCATACTCATCTCTTACCCCCCCCCCCCCACCACGCGCGCACACTCGTGTACGTATACGTATACGTATACACCTATGTGTTATGTATACGTACACGTATACGTCTACGTGTATGCAGGAGGAATAGGCGCGGGCGGCTCGGGCACGAACTCGGATCTCATGGATGGGAGTCTGTGTTGTAATGTGTTACAGCTGATGCGTATCTGCGACTCTGTGAGCGTGACCAGCTCAGACCTGGAGTACGCGATCATTGTGTTCTTTAAGCAATTTAGTAAGATGTACATCGGCAGCCATGTGCAGAAGTCCACCAAGGTATGTGCACGCTAAAGGCGCGGGTGTATACATATATATATATGTGTGTGTTTATACATGTGCGTGTGTGTGTACGTGTGTGTGTGTGTGTGTGTGTATACATGTGTGTGTGTGTGTACGTGTGTGTGTGTGTGTGTGTGTGTGTGTGTG